GGGAGTAGTGTTTTGAGATCTAATGGTTAATATGATGTGAAATGATAGAAAAGGTCAAAATTTGGAATGAATATTTAGTGTTAAGTAACATATATTATATTATTAAATTAATTGATATATATAAAATATTATAAAATTTTAAAAATAAAAATAATTAATTATTATATAAATAATTAAATTAATTTACGGGAAGTTTAGAGATATATAAAAACAACTGGGGAGTAGTGTTTTGAGATCTAATGGTTAATATGATGCGAAATGCTAGAAAAGATCAAAAATTGAAATGAATATTTAGTGTTAATAAGGTGATATATATTATCTTATTAAATTAATTGATATATTTAAAATATTATAAATTTTAAAAAATAAAAATAATTAATTATTAAATAATATATAATTTATCTTTTAATATTTTAATTTATATAATGTAATTAATTATAGATTTTGATACAATATTTTCATCTCATTTATTATTATTTTAATATAACTTTCTTTTATCATTATTATGGTGCTGTAGACAACATCCGCATTTTCTTTGTCCTCCGGTGTGAGCGCATGGAACGCAGTCGTTTTTGAGATCGTGATGACCTTCGGTCTGGTCTACACAGTCTACGCCACCGCCGTTGATCCCAAGAAGGGCAACATCGGCATTATTGCACCCATTGCAATTGGTTTCATCGTGGGTGCCAACATCTTGGCCGGTGGCGCCTTTGACGGTGCATCCATGAACCCCGCCGTCTCCTTCGGTCCTGCTGTTGTTAGCTGGAGCTGGGACAACCACTGGGTCTACTGGCTTGGACCCCTCGTTGGTTCTGCCATTGCCGCCATTGTCTACTCACTCTTCTTCATTGCCCCAAGCACACATGAACAGCTTCCCACTGCTGAATTCTAAGCTTTCTTTTGTTTTTCAGAAAACGTGATGAAAATTAAAAAAGGGTCGAAATTTGGGTGGATTTCAGGTTTCAATCTTTTGGGTGCTTTGTTGTTTGTAATTTGTATCTCTTTTGTTAATTGTTGATGATTGCAGTGAAGCTGTTTTTGTTCTTGTTCAATAATATTGGTATCAAATTTTGACAATTTCTGCTGGGTTCATTGGTCTAAGTCTAAGCAAAAACATGTGCATTTACTTTGGTAAAATAATAAACGGACTAATCAATTCACTAGTTTCTTTTTGATGCATGCACACTAGTATTAAATTCTAACATATTGATATAGGCACCATTATGCCACAAAATGGATGGTGGCTTAAAGAATCTAGACCTATATATGCGCAATTTTGGATGCTTATTCTAATTACATGAAATTTAATATTTCTGTGGTTTAGGTAAGGAATTTTTAAATTGAATATCTGCAATTCAAATTAAAATAGACTAATTAACAAGGCTTGAGAAAAAGTAAAAGTTTATTTCGGATTTGTACTTCACAAAAAGGGTATTGGCTCGATTGAGAATGTAACAGAAGCTGCATTACAAATTAAAGGCCCGTCTTGATGCTATGGAATATCGAAAAAGACTTTACTCTAGATTGACAAATTTATTTTTTTTTTAAAAACTCCACCCTTCACAATTTCTCCTCACGGTTTTGCCAGACTTTGATCTCTGTTTCTTAATTCAATCAAAGGGAAGGGTAGGCAAGATTCATGAGAAGCAAAACTAGACCCGAAGCATTTTGTGTGATTGTTTGGAATACAATGGAAAAACTCTACACGTTGAGAAAATGCAAGAAATTTGGAGCATATCACCATCCACAAATTAAAGACACCCTTTTTCAGTTTGTCATTTCGTATGATATATTGTTAATAGTAGACTGAACAATCATTAATTCACAGGGAAATTATAGGGACCCTCGAGGATACAAAAGAGACAAAAGAAAATTCCAAGTCACCTAACACAATGGCAGGAAATTTTGCATATACTTCATCACATGCTCACTAAGTATAGAGTTATATTTAAAAATTAGAACACACAATTTGTATCATGTGCATCTAATAAAAACCCAATACTATTCAATTTTTTGGACAGATTCTGAGAAAATGCTCGTTAGTTTGTTACTCTTCAATTGGAGATGGATCTGGTGGGCTGTGCCTAATAGAACATCGGGCCCAAAAAACCACTCAAAATTCATAAAACAAACGATGGAATGGGCTGTATCTGGGCAGTTCTGTCCAGGTTTAATTGGATCCTTCCGCTTTCAGTTTAGAAGCCTTATAAGGCCAGCCCGTACTTATTTTATCTTATTCAATATTTCAATTATTCACGGCGGGCTTGACATGAATGGGCCCATGAAAAGTACGAAGCCTTAAACCAGGAAGTCAATCCAAAGCCCAACGAAAGAATTTTGGCGCTTCACAGAAGTAATTTCGCGCCACTGGCTTCGATCCTTTCCAAGGAGGTAACGGGAAATTTAAGTCTTCAGAATATTTTAAAGCTGATTTTAGTATTTTACTAGTTTATTATCATTTTCTCACCTTTTCTCGGCAGCCAAACAGAAGGCTCCCTAAATCAGAATCTATTCCGGCGGTTTCCATCCGTAAATAGTCGAAGAGACGCCGTTAATGCCTAATCCGTCAAGGTAAGTATACGGCGTCGAAGAATTCTAGGGTTTCTGAAATTCTCTGATTTTTTTAAGCTAAATTTGATTATCTCATTTTAAATGCATTTTACTCTTGATCTCTAATTTCTGTCTTTGATTCGTTTGTGTTGATAGGTTGCATTTTGGAACCAATTTTTTCCTGATTGATGAGCAGTTGGATTTGGATGCATCGCGGCGCAGAAAATGGTAACCGAAACACTTTCCTTTTTCTTTATACCTTATTTCCTAGTAGATTTGTTAGTTTAATGCAATTTCTCTTCATTTCCAAGTTGCTTTTTCTTTGTGTTGTGTACCATATATGCTTTGAATTGAGTTAAAAAGGAAAATTAGCACTCCAGTCTTTTCCTTGTTAAATGTACTTTACTCTTGATCTCTGATTTCTGTCTTTGATTCAATTGTTTTAATAGGTTGCATTTTGGAACCAATTTTTTATGATTGATGAGCACCGAGCGGTTGGATTTGGATGTATCGCGGCATAGAAAATGGTAAACGAAACTCTTTTTCCTTGTTCTCTATACCTTATTCCCTAGTAGATTGGTCAGTTTAGTGAAAATTCTCTTCATTTCCAAGTTGCTTTTTCTTTGTGCTGTGTACTGTATATGTTTTGAATTGAGTAAAAAAGGGGAAATTAGTACTCTGTCTTGTCCTTGTGTATCCATGGGTATTTAAATAGTTTGCTTTTCACTCCTCTGGATTCTTAAGCAAACTTTAAACTCCACACAATAATTATTAACAAATTGTCAAAAGTTGCATCTCTTAACACTTTGTGAAATTAATAGTGTTGTTGGTCAAGCACTAAGTAGGAAGATTCTAATGTACAATTAACCTGCTTAATTGTTTATGAGTTTAGCATATTATTCATCACACCAAGTGGATGAGAGAATCAAAGGGTGAAAAAGTATTGAACACGGAGCAAGTTGCATTCCTTTTAAGTAGTAGTTTATAAAAGAATATGAAAGAAGAATATAGATTGAACTCTTATTTCAGGCTACTCATTATGCTTCCTGGTTGCATTCCTTTTTATTAGTTTGATGGAGGTGGCATTAGTAATGCATCAACTTGCAATTAAATCAATTTATTTGTAGGATCATGGCTAATGAGTGGTGGTTGGAAAGAGAATTAGAAGTTGACAATGAACAAGTTGTCAAATGCCAAGCAAGAATTTTCATAGAACATTGTTTATGGGTAGATGGCGCCAACTACTAGGTCTTATTAAAATAGTTATCTTCACATGTTGGAATAGAGTTGCCAATATCATTCTTAGTTGCCTTATCTGCTAGATGGATAACCCTCAATGCTTTTTAGGCGGTGGATACTACCTCTGGTACAGTTTTAATTAACAGTCATATTGAAAGCTAAACAATTAGGATATGAGCCAAAATTGCAGGGCAATGTCTTTGGATGGGTTAATCTTGTTAGAATTGGATGTCATTGTCATGCTTATTGAGTTGATTGTGTCCATTAGGATTTTGTTCTTTCATCCTTTCTGCTCCCTACTAAGACTTTTCTGGCTTCTTCAAGTTAATTGGAAGGAGAAGAATACAAAATAAGAAACGAAAAAGAGATAAATTATTTAAATAGATATCATGGATTCGGGTGGCAAGCCACTTACCTAATATATTATTTCAAGAAGATTACGGACAGTGTCCTATCAAGACCAGACCCAGGAAAAGCTATTGTTCTCCACAGTTCTACAAGAGTACAAGTACCTATGTACTTGATGCTTGTCTACATTATTTTTAGCAGCCAAATCTTTCACAAATTTATTCTTCCACCTTTAATGCTACCATTTCTCTTCCAAGTAGAATATAGTTGCTAACTGAACATGGTTAAAGTTGCATCAGTGGCCCTACCTATGACAGAATCCACCTTTTCCACTACATTGTGGTGAATTTATGCAACCGTTTTTAAAATCAAAGTTTAAAATTGAAATAATATCTAGTTTATCTTGTATGGTATGAACATCTATTGGAGGGTTTACGAGTATGATAAGTTTTACAATGTAAGATATGATGATTCTAAGGCAAATATGTACTTAGACTTACGAACTTGATAGAGGCTAGGTTTTTTATTTTTTATTTTTTTTATTTTTTTATTTTTTTATTTTTTAGAACAGGGTTACAATTTAGGGAAGGGGGAAAGGGGATAAGGGAAAGGGAATTCATGGGCTCAAAACTGCAACTCATAGAAGTGATCCCACTAATCTAGGCTCAATGTCACTAGCCAAAGAATGAAGATCGAGGCTAGGTTTTCTTTTTTTTTTTTGAACAAGTTATCAAGGGGCGGGTTTCGGGAGGGGGAATGCACCTCAAGTTGGCAGGGTGCCAATTGACCCGAAGGGTCAGATGCGAGGCTAGGTTTTTTTTGTTCGAAATAACTCTGAAGTATATATATATATTAGCCCTGACTTATAAGCTTCAGTGGCCCTATCTCCCAACAATTTAATGATAAGATTAAAAGGGTATGAGTACTTTCTTTATTTCTTTTGCACAGAAAATGTCAATACTTGGATAGGTTGACTTGAATCACGTGCAGACTAAGATTAATTTAAGCTGTTAATTGTGGTGAAATTGCTGGAAGGCAAGTCTGAGCTAAAATTTTTTGACTGAACAGTTTCAATTGCCCATGTTTTCATGGATTTGCTTATATCTGTTATATTATTCTAAAGGACAAAAAGTTATAGTTGCAAATTGTAAAGAGCACCACTTTGATTCAAAGTTTAAGCTTCAAAGGCGTATTATACATCACATTCATGAACATGGATATACCAATCTCCTTAAGGTAGATTTCTAAGGGCTCTCTCTTACTCTGAAAAATTAAAACCACACAAACATAGTGACATACACTAAAGTTACTGCAATAGGATCATTGCAGTGGTACCAGAAAGCTTAGAGAAAACAAAACTATTACAGGGGAGAGCTTCCTTAGAGATATTTTACATATGAAGAAAAATTAAATTAATGAAATCTAGTTAGCCGATTAAAAGTTCCCTCCCATATTCTTGAAAAGAAAGGAATTGATTGGTAGGGAGAAGCATCTTACTTTCTTCTTCATCTATCTTCCAGAGTGTGTCCCAACAGTGCTCCCATGATGGAGAAGCAACTAAAGGGTCAGAGAAATTGCAACCTTCTTTACAGTAGGTGTCACATACAGGTTTTATTGTGTTTTCTTCAGAAAGATCAAAGTCCTTCCATATATCATCCATGGAGTTCCCCTTTTCATCTTCTATTTCTTCACTTTTCTTCTCTTCCAAACCCCTCATATCAGGGCCTGCTGGGTCATAAAAGTTTGCTTTTCCAGCATCTGGGAAAGCTAAGGAATCAACTGTAGTGATAGTTGATGATGAGGAAGAACCCTTGGAAGATGACGAGGATATAGACCCTTTCCCCTCTTGAGCCTTTTTCCTCATATGGGTTCTCCAGTAATTCTTTATCTCATTATCTGTTCGCCCAGGTAATTTTCTGGCAATTCTGGACCACCTGCATGTGATTATCATTTTTATTCCTAGTAAATTCAAGTACATCTGACTAAAATTCTGGAAGAAATATCATTCGAACAACTCTATGTTCTTGATGCAGGGGAGAGAAAGTTGTGTTGAAAGTAAAATTAACAGAAAATACAAAGGAAAACCTAGATTTTGCTGCTTCTCAAACCTGTTTCCCCATTTTGCGTGAAGTTCCAGCACAAGGCGCTCTTCTTGAGGGGTCATCTTCCCCCGCTTGAGGCCAGGGTGCAGGTAATTAACCCATCGCAACCGGCAACTTTTTCCGGTTCTTGTTAAACCTACAACAAAATCATGGGTTAAAGGATGGTCCCTTCGAAAAGTTGGCCATCTCCTAATTAGATTGCTTATCATCTGTTCGCCCGCCACCTTTGCAAACCTGAAACTTTGGCTATAAAGTCCCATCTTCTATCCCCAAATAGGGTCACAAAGTTGACAAGAAGGATATCCTCTTGTTCTGTCCAAGGACCCTTTCGGATTTCCTCTTGCACCATTTTCATTTTCCCCCTTCTCTCTCTCTCGATCCCCAACTATTTTTGGAAATGGGTATTAACTCCACCTATTTACTGGTACAAGGCGACCTATGTGTACGCTGCTAATATTTATATGAGCTGCTTGGCATTGTTTAAAGACTGTGATAATCTTTGGCTATTATAATATGATGATATTGTATCTACACAATATATGTGGTGCGCATGCTCATTTTGTCAAAGGCACCTTATGCATCTTATGTCAGCCACTATAAGCATATAATATCAACTTGAGATTTATCTCTTGAAGTTTTTTTTTTCCATTACCAGCCCTCTTGTTACAGCACAAACTATTAATATCTTTCTTTTATCAGATAAAGGATCTGATATGAAAACGCATAAATCCATTTTGTCACAGGTGTGTTGCTACCATGTGAGATAAATTTATATAATCATATCAAAGATTGATTGTTTTATAGTAGCTTGAAGGTGGAGGTATTTTTGTATATAACTTTTATTTTTTTTGAACCAGTACAGTTGGGGAAATTAACAATAAAAATGATAAAAAATTGAACTTTAAAATTTTAAATATTATTATTATTTTTTAAAAAATTATGACTATTAGACCACAACAATAGTGTGCGAATATAACTGAGTTCAATTATGTTCCAAGTTTCCAAGGGTCAGAAAAATGGAAAAATGGAAAGATTCTATTGGACTTGATTGGATAGAAATTTTTTAATGTTATTCTTATTAATTAAAGTGGCAAGAAGTTGATATTGTAAAAAAAAAAATTTAAAAATAGAAAGTCGGATTCTAGGGACTTGAACTTTGATTGGATAGAGGGGAATAAATTAATGGGAAGTCCCTAGAGCCTTCCTCTTCCACCCAATTTGGGCAAATGAGAGTAGTCTCCCTTGACTTTAGTGAAGGCTAGAGATATTGAAGCTAAGTTAAAGGAAAGCAAAAGCAAAAGAGAATAAAAAATTGAAAAGCAAGGTACGGGAAGGCATTGTTTTGATGTCAAGTGACCTATTTCTCCCTAAAGAAGATGGAGTAAGATATTATTCCATTAAACCTATTTTTAAATGCTTAGCAAATCAACTGCCTGTGGAGGCAGACATGGGCATAAACTTATTTTTAGTCTTTTACCTTAATAAATTTATAAATTTTAGTCCCTCATCTTATACTATGATACTTGTAGTCCCTCACTTATAAGAATTGAAGAAAATAGCCCTTATTTAATGTTCTGTTAGCTAACTTTTAATTTTGTTAACTGATTGTTAGCATTCCGTTATAAAAAACATGAAATTTAAATTCAATTTTATTTGTTAGTTCCGTTAACGGAATGCTAATAGTCAGTTAATAGAGTTAATAATCGGCTAACAGAACTAACAGTTAACTAACAAAATTAACAAAACTTTATAACTTGATGTTAAATAAGGGTTATTTCCTTCGATTTGTATAGGTGATGGGCTAAAAGTGTCATAGTATAAGGTGATGAGCTAAAACCTATAAACTTATTAAGGGAAAGGGTTAAAAGTAGATTTTTGCCGACATACATGAGGTATTCTTTGTAGTGCTTCCAGCATCATTGGCTTGGAATCTTGTTGGGATATTCTCCATATGTGCCACTAATTATATCACAATTCAAGATCATAGATAGAAAGCATAAGCTTAGCTGCTACACTCTACCTTTCTGAATTATTGATATTATTGAAGGTTATCAACACTACCTTCAGCAAGAATTTTGTACAATATGATGCTGAAACTTGATTTTATCAAGAGGTAGGGAAGCTTTCTTGAGGGGGAGTTCCCATCTCATGCTCCCTCTGCATCACATTGAGATTGAAGTTTGGGATTTAATTTTTTCCATTTTTAATTCTGATAATTATTTATTTGTATTTAATTACGTGTTTCTCTAGATTTTTGTTTAAATATCAGCTTCAAAAGTTAAGTGCATGTAGTCAATTTTATGTTGCATTTTCTTTTTGTGTTGGAGTTTTTTTGGGGGACTTCAGAAATGTCAAGACCTTAGAGTTTATACAAGGCTGTAACACTGATATGTGTTAGGTTTTCTTCATAACACAAAATTTTATCATTATAATTAACCTGTTGATGCTAAAAGATCTTATATTGAGTCAGATTTGAGTTAATCTGTGCTTTGCTAACATATATAAAGCTTCAAGAGACCAGTTTGAATCATTTGTGTCCCTTGCAATTTTGTGGCATTTGTGTTCAAGTTCATTATGTTATGAGAAAATTTAAATTGAGTATGGTTGCTATGTACTTACATGATATATAGCTCCTAGAGCTTAATGACTTCGGTGGTTTTACTTTCAAGTAAAATGTTTCTGCTGATAACCTTCCTTAGAGGTTGATATGTGCCTTTACATTGGTGGCTTGCATCTGTAGGTTATTTTCTGCAGAAGCAATCAATATAGCAAATTTGTCTGCTTTCATCTTCTTTTTATCAACAGCTTATTGACAGTTACTTAAGGGAGATGCAACCTTGTATCATTGGCAACAATATGATAAGCAGATAGAAAAGCGGAATATGGCATCATATGTCAGTGCTAATGCTAACAGCATTTATTCATCTGTGGTAGTGAATTGGTGATGGTAGCACCATACCAATCACGGTGAGGCTGTGAGCTATAGAAAAACAGAGAATTTAAGAGAAAATGAATGGCCTGATGGCTCTTTGCTTTAAAGGACCTTATAAGTGGAGTACTGATAGAAAGACTTGCTTAAAAGAGTGAAACAATGACGTGGATGCCACTAAATTGTGGTCACTCCACTTAATTTTATCTCGTCTCCTTTTGATGTATGGGCTCATGAATATTCTTTTAAATGAAAATATAGTAAAAATGTTTAGAGGGAGATAAGCTTGTTAGATGCCTATGTCATTTACCTTCACAAGTAAAGAGCAAGATTCTGTGGTCATTCGTTTGTTGAAACTAGGCTTCTGCTTAAGTGTATTTAATCACACTGCCACATCAATCTCAGTTAAATTTCTCATTATAATTTCTGGTCCATGGATCTAGCTTCTTTTTTGCTTTCTTTTGCCTTCTGACTGGTGTTAGACAATTTAGTGTCTTATGCAATAGTAATTCTCCCTAATCAAAATGCATAATGAATGCAGAAATATATGGGCTAAATAGGGGTGTGCCAATTGCGTGAGGTTGATTACCAGTATGCCGCGTGCCAGCCTGCTATTAGGGTTGGTATGTAGTATGTGATATTCCTTGGATTTCTATAAGCAGCATGATAATATATAAAATGTGAGATGATAAGATATTATATTCCTAAATTATGCAGTGTCATTGCTTTTTGTACGCAATGGCAAGGATTGGCATTGAATAACTCTATTGTTTATATCATTTTCAGTTTGTGCTAAAATGAGATGGTGGGGAGGTGCTTGTCCCTTGTTCCATCTCGAGGTCCGATCCTAGAATGGTCTCCTGCTTGATAATTGATTCAACCTAACATTATGGCAAACCGAGGTACTGTGTTACTAATAATAGCAAGATATGATCATGTCTTGATGATGATTCTAGAATTCTACACTGAAATCCTAAATTATACTGCCATAAAATTTGTCAAACTTTGTTTATGTGTTTGTTTAGGATCTAAAGCAGACATTCATTTTCTCTTTTCCCCTTGCTTAGTAGGAGACACTGGTGATCAGTCAAAGACAACCTAGGTGTTATGTTCAAGCTTAGAATGATTAAGAAATATTTGGTGCTCCTGTGGACCACTTCCACTTTTCTGAGAGTCATCAGATTATGAAGTGCGATTAGCATTTCTAGGTTCTTAAGGCCTATCATATTCTTGTTGACAAGGGGAAAGATTAAGGGCACCTGTTACACCTGAACCATGTTGCTTTCTATAAATCTTGTTATTTCTTAATAAAATCCATTCTTTTCCTTTTGATTTGTATGGAAATAGACTTTAATAAAAACGGTTGAATCAATATAGTTAGATAGTCGAACTCACTGGGTTTTAACTTTCCATAGTCGAATTTAAATTACAGGGGATAGCAGAGCAAATCTCTTATTAGAAAAGGTCATTTAGAAATTCCCTTAAAATGTAATGCATTTTTGGTTATCCTCATTTTTTTTTTTATAAATTTTCTTATGAATGAAACCTGCATCATCACCTCCACTAGTTGTCTAATCACAAAAAGAAGGATAAGGGCTTGCTATTTAGATAATTGTCTTGCATCAGCTTAAGCAAACAATTCTTCAATTTTTCTTTTCACGTGAGGATGGGACTGGAATGGAAGAAGAGGATCTATACCCAATTCTCATTTTGTATATGATAGGAAACTTTACTTGTTCTTTTGTTCGTATTATAGGTCAAGGGAAATTGGTGATTTGCACCTCCAAAAAGAAAGTGATCCTGTATCTCCTTAGTCCTTACCTTAAATCCAGGAGTTAATTTTAGAGCCTATTTGGTGGAATTTTTTGGAGTTTTGATTTTTTTTACTGTTTATTAATGATAAGTTTAAATTTTTATTGGAGAAAAAAATTTAAAAATTACTTTTAGAAATAAAATAAAAAATGAATAAAAAATGAGTAAAAAGGAAATTTATAAAAAACAAAAGTTAGAAACTTTTTAAAATTTACTGTTTAAGATCTTTTTAAGGTTAAAAAAAGTTTAAAAATGTAAGTTTTTAAGAAAAAAAATTTTAATTTATAAAATATAAATAGTATCAAAAAAGCTAAAACACTTACAAATTTCACTAAAAAAGCTCGGCTGGCATGCTGGGAAGAGGAAGGGATTTGTTGCAGTTAATATGCACATTTTTCTTCTTTTTTTTTTCTTCTTTTCTGCTGCAGTTAAATACTCTCATCTCAGGCTATATGTTGAATCAACAAATGGTGCCGTGTAATCTCAAGGGATCCATTTTGTAAAAAAGTGTCCGTATTGTAAATCATATTTAAAGTTTAACTTTTGAAATTAACATGTAAGTAAATTAATTTATATAACTATTTTAGACCGAAGTGGGATATATCTCTGAGGTGATTCAAAAAGAGATTACTTTCAAAATTCATGGAAGGTGGTTTGAGGACAGTTTGACTATAAATATAAATAAAAAAAAAATAATGTCCTGCAGTTGTGAATTAATTAAACATTCTATAAGTAGCTTGTAGGTAGTGTTTTTTTTTTTTTTTTACAAGGGTAATAGTTAGGAAATTAGTAGAGTTAATTTGTTAGCAGCTGAGATTTTTCAGAACGGTGAACATTCCACTCTCTCATATGAGGCGCGCGACCATTAGGTTGCAAGTTAGTAGAGTTCACGGCGGTGACAGAACTCGAAGCCTTGAACTCCGCCTCACTCAAGCCCTAAGACTTGGGGACCAACCATTGCGCCTCAGGCCGGTTGGTAGCTTGTAGGTAGTGTTGGTTTGATATCATTTGTTAATTGCAAATTCTTGCTATATTTTTTTTCTAATACATCAAATTGAAATGATACACCTTTGTTTGTTTTTGATAGATTTAATTAGATTTTTAAAAAAATTTTAAATATAAATTTTAAATAAAAATTTAACATATTATATAAATAATAATTAATTTTTTTTTATCAAATTATAGTACTTAATAAAAATTTTATAAAAAAACAATTATTATTTATATAAATGGTTAAATTTTCATTTAAAATTTATAATCAAAAAATTAAAAAATCAAATTAAACTCATTAGGAAAATGAACTGAGGGAGTACATATTATCAAATATCAACAGACTCATTTATACTCCAAGCCACAAATTTGTTAGTGGTTCGTGAATCGAGTCAATAAAGTTTCGAGTACTAATACTTATTGTGATGTGATCATTGGATGAGGGATGAGTCCATTAACATGAAAAATTCTTTTCTCATTTAATTATTTTGATTTTATAGTTTGATATAATTTAAATTATAAAGTAAGAGATTTTTTTTTGTTAAATATCATTTTTTTTCTTTATAATTAAGGTATCTCAAATTAAATTTTATTTATCTTAATATTATTTTCTCCTTGAATAATCTTAAAACACATTTTTTATATTAACTTAACATATTTAAAAAATAATAATTTTTTAAAATACTAGCTTCTCTTTCAGCAGCATCATTCTTTTATCTCAAAATATTATCGCCATCCATTCAGGGATCAAGATTTTCAACTTTGGGCTATGGTCTTGGGCTGACTTTTGTGTGTATGACATGTTCATCTCGTTTTTAACTTTTTCATGTTTAATTGTCCAAGAGCCGCAGGGCTGGCGTATCCACCTTATGGGTCTGGAAATTTCATCGGCCCAAATTGGGGTGGGCCTCAGAGAGTAATCTTGGACCCTAGACTTTTTCGGGATATGAGTCCGCTATTTATAACTAAGCAACGTGAATTTTGTTGCTTTTCTCTGTGCTTTTTCGCCATAGCTGGTGTCGTGGTGTAGTTGGTTATCACGTCAGTCTAACACACTGAAGGTCTCCGGTTCGAGTCCGGGCGACGCCACAATTTTTTTTTATAAAGAGTTACTTTTTTCTTTTTTCTTTTTTTTTTTTCTTTTTTCATGAACCTCCAGAAGTAGTGCACAGATCTTATTGGCACTTATATTCCTTCAAGGATTATTAAACTCATGAATCTAGATTTTTAGACAATCTATTCTTGAATATTTGACTTACTTTGGGTTTCCCGATGCAGCGTATGCATCAAAGCAATTGTCAAAGGTACTTTTTACAAATACCAAAACCTTGGTAACCATTCTACGTTTGTCCAAAAAGAAGGAGAGAAGAAAAAAAAGGTAACCATTCTACATTTGTTGGGCACTGGGCAGGCTGACTGAAATTCCCAACCCCAAATTACTCATGTTATTAACCCACTAGTCTCATAGAGTAAATGCAACTCCCTCCATCTATAATTTTACTTTAAAAAATGGTAAGTATGATTTATTAAATTTTTTTTT